TCGTCCTCCCTCCTCTCTCTCTCTCTCTCTCTCTCTCTCTCTCGGATCTTTGCAGTACCGGATCGGGTACGGATCGACACGGATCAGATCCGCTAAGTGGTCTGCCACCAACCCCATCGAGATCTAATCCACCCATCCCCTCCCGGACGGAAACTAGATGACCATGTCTGCCTGTTTGTTCAGCCAAAAATACATCTTGATGCCATCAACTGTGAGTTCAGTGAGTGATGCCCCATCCTGGTTCCTTGTTACTGTTGTTCTTTCTTTCTTTCTTTCTTTTTGGTGGAGATTCTTGGAACACGACCGTAGGATTTAGTCCCAAATATTCATTATTATCCAAAGGCCATGCATTTGAAGATCTCCATCAGTAACTCTTACAACCATCTATTTTTGAGATTTTGTGTTTCGAATCCTTGGATATGGCTTGAAGTGATGGTCTTTTTCTTCTGGATCGTGTGTTGGAACTCGTAATATTTAGATTTCATCTCATCGGCTACGCATTTATGTGTCGCTTTGGCTGACTCGCTAGTCTTTTTTGTGGTCCATTCTTGTATCATCCTTTTCTATATTAAAGCTGCTTCTTTGTTACAAGTACTTTCATTAGAATGAGCCTGCTGATAGCTTCTTCAGCGGATATTAAGCAAATTTGTGCGAAACTTGACTATTTTTCTTATCTCTGACCTACAGAAAAATCGTGGAATTAAAAGAAATTTATATGGGTAGATTTCGAACAGCATATGGATCCGCATTTAAATCTCATTGATCTTAACTAAGTCGTACGTCATCTCCTTTCCGAATCGGTGGATCTCGGATGCCGTTGTATTAATACTGCCAGTTTTCTGTCGTGGCATGGAAATGTTTAGGCATATGTATCCCATCTTCAGGCATGGGTTTAAAGGCTTTGTCCATTCAAATAGTCACATAGGTATTGTTTTTTGAAGCATTTTCTGATAATTTCGCAAGAAAAAGAATCATCCCATGCGCTAGGTTTTTTGGGCTGAATTCGCATCTCTCTGTGTTGCAGGATTGAACTTTAGAACTTCCAGATGCACCTACTTTCACCCGATCCCATTTTGTTACCGGATCCATTCTTCTGCAGAATGTTCGGTTCAATCTTCAGAAGAGGAAGTTGTGATTGCTTTAGGTAGCAATGTTGGAGACAGAATCCATAATTTCAATAAAGCATTGCAAATGATGAAGAAATTAGGTGTAAATATCACAAGACATGGCTGCTTATACGAGTCAGAGCCTGCTTATGTAACTGAGCAACCTTTATTTCTGAATTCTGCTGTCAGAGGTACCACAAAACTTGGGCCTCATGAGTTATTGAAAGCACTTAAACAGATTGAGAGGGACTTAGGGCGGCAGGATGGAATTAGATATGGTCCAAGGCCAATTGACCTGGACATTCTTTTCTATGGGAAGTGCAAAATTGAGTCTGAAGATCTTATAGTGCCTCATGAGCGTATATGGGAAAGGGCTTTTGTCGTAGCACCTCTTATCGATCTATTGGGATCATCTATTGACAATGATAATGTGGCAAGTTGGCATTCTTTAGTAGGACGAAGAGGTGGAATATTTGAATTGTGGGAAAAACTAGGTGGTGAATCCTTGATTGGGAGCAAAGGATTGAAAAGAGTTTTACCAATGGGAACTCATTTATGGGACTGGTCAGAGAAGACACATGTTATGGGTGTTCTAAATCTGACTCCCGATAGTTTTAGTGATGGAGGGAAGTTTTTGGAAGTTAACGTTGCAGTTTCTCAGGTCAGGTTGTTGATCTCAGAAGGGGCAGATATTATTGATATTGGTGCTCAATCTACACGCCCTAATGCAAGTCGGCTTTCTGTTGATGAAGAACTTCAGAGGCTTATTCCAGTATTAGATGCAGTTGTTAAAATGCCTGAGGTGGAAGGGAAGCTATTGTCAGTCGATACATTCTATGCAGAAGTTGCATCTGTAGCGGTAAACAGAGGGGTTCATATTGTTAACGACGTCTCTGGTGGACAGCTTGACCCTAAAATTTTGAGTGTAGTAAGAGACCTTGGTGTTCCTTATATTGCAATGCATATGAGAGGTGATCCAACTACCATGCAAAGTAATGAAAATTTGAAGTATGAAGATGTTTGTGAGCAAGTTGCTTCTGAATTATATAACCGGTTGCATGAAGCCGAATTAGCAGGAATTCCCATATGGCGGATAATAATTGACCCTGGCATTGGCTTCTCAAAGAAAACTGAACACAACTTGGAACTAATTATGGGTCTATCAAACATCCGGAGAGAAATTGGTAAGAAAAGCTTGGCTGCTTCACATGTGCCAATCTTGCTTGGACCATCTAGAAAAAGATTTTTGGGTGACATCTGCAACCGTAGAAGTCCTGATGAGAGAGATCCTGCCACCATTGCTGCCGTCACAGCTGGCATTTTGGCTGGTGCTAATATCATCAGGGTTCATAATGTTGGCTATGGTCTGGATGCTGCGAAGGTCTGTGATGCAATGCTTAAACAACAAAAATCAATTAGCTAAGAGATATGCCTATACATGCCAATTTGATCTTTTCTATAAATTAAATTTTCATGATCACCCATAATCCTGGTGGTCAGTGACTGATTCCTCATTGAGAAATGTGTAACGGAAAGCGTTTTCCCCCTTCTGGCTTAGGTATTTAATGACTTCCTTGCTGGGATTCGTTCAGTTGCAAGCCACTTCCCAGGACTGACTCATGTAACAGTTCCACACTTAATATTCTACAAATAAAATATTTAAAGTTTTTGAACGAATTTAATTTTTTTACTACTTGTGAATCTTGATCTTTCCTCTCTTGTTTGAAAATCTTATATATGGTGATTTGTTTTATTGATTCAATATTCAGCACTCTATATTTAAGATTTACTGTTCATTTCAAGCATCTCCTTGTTATTGTACTTTGTTTTTTCATCGGGTTATGCAAAAAAAGGGAAATTTTAAATTAGGATTTCTATTGCCATTCACTGATTTGGATCATAGGTAATTTATACTATGGAAGTCGATTTGCTTCCAAGGAAACTACTACTTACTGGATCTTGAATTTAACTGGTTTCTCTGTGAATGTGGCAAGTTTAGCTGACTTGAAATATTTAAATCCTTCAACTTTTGAGAAGTTCCATATCTTGACAGTTTAGTTCAGTTTCAACTTTTTATTTAATTTTAGGAAGCGATTCTTATGCGGCTTATTATTATTTTTTTGTTTTTCTTTCATAGAGTTACATAGAGATTCATATTTTGGAAATCACCTAATATATTTAGAGCAGGAACAGGTTTTCATGAAGAAGGCTTTATCACCAAGTTGAAGACTATCTGGGGAAGGCTGCTTGATACTATATTTAAATATTCCAGTCACTGTTTTGTATGTGGTTGTTTGGTTCTTATTTTTTGTAATAGTAAATTCTTATTTGATTATACTTTTCAAAAATATCCACTCTTAAATGTACCCAGTAGGCCCTTCATGATTACTTATAGCAGCATTTAGATAAGTAGTACAAGTTGCTTGTGGTGCTTAACATTGATAGTGAATGCTCTCATTTGTTTTAAAGTAGTTTCGAACATCTCTCCTCATGGGCACATCTCAAGTCTGTTATTATTTTATTTGTATCATCATAGTGTAGTATACAATTAGTACGTTCATTCTTGTCAAAATAACTCTTACTATTGGCATGTAATTCAAATTGTAGTTTTCCGATGCATCTGTACATTGATTCTATATGCTGGTAGTATTCCAAGTTTCTAACTCTTATTCAAATTTTATATCAATTGCAAGTTATGAATAATATTGTACTTATGGTTGATAATGTACATGCTAAATGTCATTCTGTTTTGTCTTTTTTCTTATTTTGTGCCAACGAGGATACCTGTAGCTGAGAGATTAGGCCTATGGTCATTGAGAATAAGGGGAAGAGCCTGCCTTTAGAATATATCATTTATATTACATGAAGATGCCAATAAATCGGTGGCTTAATCACATTCTTTTGCTAGAATATAGTTAAGCAGCTGATACAGGAGTTAGACTAGTAAGCCTTGTCTCATTTTAGATGATTGAAAAATGCATTGGACTTTTGTTCGTGTCACAAATGCCCATCAACTCGGCATGACGAAGTTGATTTGGCCTAGTTTATATTTAGATTGTTATGTGTCTAAAAACATGATGCCTCCTTGAGAGCGTACTCATTTTGAGCTCTCAAGTACATTTGAGCTGGATGCCCTTCTTCATCTCACCTCTTTGAGAGCGGACTCTTCTTCATCTGGAGTCGAAGGAATCCACAGAATTGAGCAAAAAATCATTTTATTTGTTATGCCTTTCAATATACGTTTTTACTTCCATCTTTTGATGAAAGGTCGACTTGATTTATCATGCTTTGCTTTGTTCCTTCATCATCTAGCCCACTTACAATTTTTTTGGAAGTAATATAGTTGTTATTGATAATCTATCTTGAACAAATTGTGATCGATAAAGTTACAAAGTATTTAATGCAGATGAACTCAAAAGGAGTTGACATAGATTCCTTTGATCTTACACCATCTTAATCTGTCACTTCTTTTGCAAGATATTAAAACACCTATATTTTAGGTGAAGCTACCACAGATCAGTGCTGCCATACAGGTTAAGAATTCAGCTTTTTTTACTCATCTTTATATATTGTAACACAAACAATGCAGTGATAATTGTATGTTCAAGAGATTAGTTGTTGATGCAATAATGTTTGATACATTAGATTCATTTGACAGCTTATACTCAGCTTGTATTTCCTTGTTTTTCTATTTGTTGGAGAACTCGAGATTATATGCTTGGAACCTCACCATGGACGAGCATGATGAGACCAAAAGAGCACCTGCATGTTCTTATTCTACATTTGTGTTGTCATGTAAATTTATTTTTGTGACAGGTCACTTGAAATTTACTTATGTGAATCATGTAACAATTTTGGTATTTAGAACCACTAAATTGTTTACTGTAATTTTTACAATGACACTTATAATAATTATTAAACTAATATGTCATTCGAAGAATTATTCATGTGAATCTCATGCACTCATTTATTGAGGAAATATTCAAATTATGTATTGAAGAAATCAATACAACTTAATGTCTTTGGATTGTTGCTATTTTAAATTGTTTTCCAAGTATTCTTAAAGTTAGATACTCAAAAAAGCACACTATCAAGTTGTAATATATTTGGATGGACTTATAATGTGTTTTATTATCGAACCAAAACGTTATAACATTATTTAAAAATATCTTATTCAAATTTTATTCCTTCTAATCCCTGCCTATCTTAATTATCAACTTTATATAGATTTCGTGGTCTCCTAAAATAATTTATATGAAGAATTTAGTAGTCTTGGATGAAGATTAAGAATTATTCATACCATATTTTAAATAGGCTCTCTATACGCAATTGGCTTTTCTTTTCCGGGAAATTATTCAATATTATGAAGAATTAATTTCTTCCGAGATGACGACGTGGCCGTCCACCTGAATGCCCGCACGCGATGCTGCGTCATCAAGAAACCTTCATGTAATTATAATGCCGGTCACCCTTCCATGCGCCATCGCGATTCTTACTCCTTTCCTCTTTTGGATTCTATCCCTCCGCCGATCCAAAATCGGCGATCGCAGTCACCCTTCCTTCCTCTTCCTCTCTCTCTCTCTCTCTCTCTCTCTCTCTCTCTCTCTGTTTGCAAGTAGAGTTTGCCATACTGGGCAAGCCTTGCCCGCCACTCCTCTCCATATAATCCGTCCATTCACCTTCCTTCCTCTTCCTCTCTCTCTCTCTCTCCGTTTGCAAGTAGAGTTTGCCATACTGGGCAAGCCATGCCCCACACTCCTCTCCATATAATCCGCCCATTCACCCTCCTCGCCCCAACCTAGTTTCTTGGCCGCCGACGCCGGTTCCGCGATTACCGTCATATGCATTCTCTTTCTCCAATCGCAAGTCGTTGGCGTTTGCTTTCTTCTTCTTGTTACTGATCTTGATGCTATTTCGGTGTTTCGTAGTTCTGGTGAGCTGGGATGGGTTCGCCTGCGAAGGAGTCCGCTTTCGCCTCCACCTCCGAAGCTGCGGCGCCTCAAGAACTGCAGCTGATGCCACGAAGATCGAACCTGTCTCCACCAACTCCGCACGTGCAGCCTCCGGTGTGGGCGCCGGAAACCGCAGCGGCAGCGGCAGCCAAGGGGAGGGCAGTGCCTCCTGTCTTCCTGCGGGCCCAGGTTGGCAGGGACCGGAAAGAGAGAATTGCGTTCTCTTCTTTACTTTGTTTGTGTTACTTTCGAGTCGACTGACTAAGGAAACAATCGATTTTTATTGCTTTTTCTCTTCGGATAACTTCCAGCCGCTCTATGACAACGCAATTTCGTGTCTTCCTCTGTGCCTGCCCATGTTAATCTTCCATGATTTGTGGTCGCTAGTACGATGTCATTGGATTCTTGATTGATTGAATACGTTATGGTTTTAATTGTCCTCAGATGACGCCTTATCCGGCTCCTACAATCCAGGAGAGGCCTCTGCCGCAGGAGGAGGAGGAGAGGAACGAGAGTCCCGCAAGCAAAGCAGAGGGATCTCAAGAGAAATCTGGACGTGTTGACAGAAAATCCTCTGCGTCTGGAAAGAATTCTAACTCTAGCTAGTGAGTTTGATTCTTGTTTTTTCTTTTCTTCAGTTGTTTAAATCAGTCATGAACATTTATTTTATGTTTCAACTGCAGCGTTGATCACGATGAATGGAAGGTAATATTTATTTGCTGCATTGATGAATTTACGTGTGGTGATTACTGTGTCATATTTCTGTTTGTGGTCATGGAGATAGCATTGTCCTAAAACTCAGCAGATAGGCTGATATACATCACTAGTTTGTTCTTAAGCTGTTATTCTTCTTTAAGCATGCATGATGGCATTCTTTGGCGTGCTTGCTTGTCACAACTTGTATGCATAGAGAAAAGTAGTTACCTGTTGATTTTTGCTTATTCTAATCTTTCTTTGGTATTTAGGGCTTCTTGTCATCTAGAAAGAGAAGATACGAAGACATAGTCACCAAGGGTCCGTTCATTGACTTGTATGATTTTGGCTTTTATGGATCAGTAGCTTGTGTGTGAGTGCAAAATTCTACTCTGTAATTGCTTAGGTGAAGCTTTACATCTGGTAACTGCTGATCAACATAATGGTGTCGACATCGAAGCATCTGATGTTAGAGGGGAGCATTCTGTCAAAACGCTGTCAGTTTCACCAGAATCACTACTGCTAAGGGCATTGCCACCTGGTTCTGAAACTGAATTGAACACAGAGATCGACCAATGTAGTTATCCATCACCACTGCTAGGAAATGACCCGGTTGCACATAAACAACAGCGGTTGCAGGTAATTTCTCGGGAAATATACCCCATCACAGCACATGTTGCATATTGTTTTACTGGTTTTCACTCTTAATTATTTGCACCAAGGATATGTTCATGCTTTCTTTACACCACGGATATCAAGTTTCTTGAGGATTGGCTTCTATGATTTCTTTGAAACTATTTAGTGTGATGGAATGGTGTGGTTTGCTTCTCTAGGACAGTCTGGAAACCAAATGCATCATTAATTAGGGACATCTTACTTTGTGATTCTAGGAAAACAAGAGGATGCTCTAAAAAACTTCAAACTGAGTGACATGTGGAGAGATGATAAAGTGTCTGATTGTGAATGATGTTGATGACTTTCTGGTGAACTGTGATAAAACTGATTGCAAGGTAGATAATTATTTGAGAATTGAGATGCCAAGTGTAGAGCTTAAAACTTGCCTCTTCTTTGTAGTGGGCATGACTTTCTGTTGATTAGTCATCTGGAGTCATCAGTATTGTAGCCTGGTATCATTTTGTTGTCTTTTCATTCTATCCATCCTTTACTAGTCACCACTTGTAGGTAGTTGTTTAAGATAAGAAAAAAATAAAATAAAATAAAATAATATATATATATATATATATATATATATATATATATATATGTCTGAAGTTACAAGTTATATATTTCATTTGAAGCCTGTAATATATGTATGGGATGAAATTACCTGTGCAGCATGGATCACAAAATGGGTAAAGTCTTTTTCGTAAAAGGTCAGTCAAAGTAGAAAAAGCTTCAAGCCTTTCCATAATTTGCAATTCACTGGCAGTTTTCATTCCTCTCCTTCAAAACATGACAGATCGAGTGATTCTAAAGTTTAACGGAAAAAGAAAACTAAATGCCATTTACTATACATTGGACCTTTGGAGTTCTTCCCATATTGAACCTGTGCCTTCAAGAGTAACATCAAACAAAATGAAGTCTGCACCATTGCTGCTAGGAAACGAACCCTGTTATGCATGAACAGCAGTGATTGTAGGTAATTTGAAGAGCTATACCCCATCAAAGCTCATATTGCATATTACATTACTGGTTTCGCTCTTAATTGTTTATATTACACCAAGGATATGTTCAGCCTTCATGATTATCTTTTTCTGTTTCCTATTTTTGGTTTCTTAACATGTTACCCCAATGACCGTTGCAATTGTTGCTAGGATGACGACGAATTCAGGGAGAGAAGAAAACAGGCAAATAGGGAGTCAGCAAGAAGGTCAAGAATACGTAAAAGGGTATGCATTTTTAGGCAACTTAGAGATGCTGTTTGGATTATATGTGGGATCCTTTTTTGTCTTTTCTTGTTCTCTTCTTTTTGTTCTTTTCCTTGAGCATTTTCCAGGAAGGCAAAGCACTTGTTTTCCATGATTTCTTTGTAAATATTAGTGGGATGAATTGGTGCAGTTTATTTCTCTTGGACAATATAGAAATCAAATGTGCCATTATTTAGGATGCTCTAAATTATAGTGAAAGAATGTGCAAAAGTTATGTGAGACTAAGAGATAGGTTGGGAAATGGCTAGAGGAAGATAGGAAAAAAAAAATCTGGGCATAGTTGAACCTCTCTGATCTGCCTAATAAAGATGGATAGAGAGGAGGAGGGATAATTGATGAGGATGAGAACAGAAGGAAATGGTCATTAGATTTGGATGGTAATGGAAAAAGAATTTGGAGAAGAGAAACATTCTCTAAGGATGAAGAAAGACGACATTAATTCAAGTAACTTGTTTGACTGTAGAGGCACCTGGAACCCTTCCATCCAAACACTTGCACCACGTGGCATGGATAATTCAACAGCCAGATATAAGCGTTTGATGGTAGAATGGTTCACTGTGCTTTCATTGTTTATAACTGACTCAGCACCATAAATTTCATAGGGGTGCTGGGTTTCAAAACGTAGATTCTTCTTACAAGTAAGCCAATGTTGAATCATGTATAACAAGTGGTGGACAAGCTTATGTGGTTTGGAGGAGTAATGTGGAATAAGAACATCCATGCCTTTTTTTTTCTTTTATGTTTTTGTCAATGTTTGTAAACTTCTTTCCATATATTAAAGTTTTAATTCTGATTTCATAAATGCTTATGCATTTTTGCCTTTTAAACTGTCTTACATAGAATGGACTATGCGTTCCCTGGGTTTAATTATTTTTGCCTTCTTCGCTAGCAAGAATACGAGGACTCAGCAAGGATGATGGCCGTATTGAAAAATGAGAATGATGTACTCAAAGCAAAGAATGAAATTCTCATGAAAAGGATCAAGGATTTAGAAGCTGGAAGCATAAGAATCATGGTTAGTTAATTTTCTTATCTATTAACCTTTTTTTGTGTAAACTAATCGATTGTCAAAGATTCCTGTGGACTTCACAAGGATCTTCTGCCAATAGGTTTCTCATGGAATAATAATCAAGTGCACCCATGGTTGTTAAAATTATTCTAGTCTCTATGTATTCTATCATTTTAATTCCGTGATACTCTCTTAGTTGGGTTTGTTGATGACTTCCATTAGAGTGAATCCTGGTGATTAGAAAGTGCAGAAGCTCCAATTTGCTTGTCCCACATAATCAGTTAAGAATACCTTAAATTTCAAATATGTTATGTCCCTTGGCCATTCAGTTATGTACTTGGGTCGCAAGGTAGAATATGGCCTCTTTTTAGCACTCTTTATTTTGTATAGGAACTTCTATCAATTTTTGATATAGTCTCATATTAGAAACAGGAAAGATAGGAATTTTTATTTTTTTTATATGATCTCATATTTTTCATTGAAACAGGAGATATTGAGCGGACTTTACTGGCCTGCTGATACGTTGGATGCACTGGGCATCAGACCGTCGTAGAAGTTTTCAAGACACGACAATCCTGAATGTGCTTCTAGGTGAATACATTCCTGTTGCTTGGACCCTGCAAGCTTGAACCCCTGACACTTGCTTACTGATGAAGTTAGTCAGGAGAGGTGCACATGCTGAAAAAAACTTGGGAGTGTTTAGGGTATTTAAAATTTTGTATATTATTTAATATATGATGCTGATTTTTCTTTTTTCGATAAAATCTTCACAGTTGGAGAGGAGAAGCTGCTAATTTGACATCTGCTTTCTCATATGGGAGATTTTGAGTTCTCTTGCTGCGATTGTAGGATGAATGTAATTAAAGTTTCGAGTTCTCTGATACTACCAAAGTGGCATATTTTTCCTCCTAATCTACAGACACTTGAGATGTGCCTGTTAGCCATTCAATCTATGAGTTCATTTATACGAGGAAACAACACTTTGTGCAGCCATCTTAAAAGCTGGAGGTACAAGAATGACAAGATTATTCTTAGAATGTGTATGATTCAATGCTTCTGGCTTGATCTTTACAGCATATTGCTATTGGATGGGAAGAAAAAAGACATAAAATAATGGTGGCATGCCTCTTTTGGTGCCTCATTTTCCCTTTGCCTTTGATGTAATTTCCGTTTGTCATCCAAGTTTAGGATGCTATCTTGCCATGAATCTTAAACCTGTCATTCTTGGAAATTAACCTTTGCTCACAGAGGGACTAATAGCAGTTGCAGGGATCTCTGAGATCTCGGAGCTCAAATACAATGAATGATCATGTTACAAGTCCTAGTAAAATGCAGAGATCTATGTTTCACTTGCGTAAGATCTATGTCCTATTTGCAGCATTCCCCTGTTTAGTCCTAAACTAATTTTCCTCAAAGATATTTAAGAGAAGCTTCAATTAATAAACACCTGAATCTATTCACTCCTTTTTGCCACAGGACTCTGAACCAAGATGGGTAAAGATAATTCAAGAAGATGCCAAGCTGCTGCTTGTGAGAAGGCAAAAGACATGCAAACCGATTGATGTTTAATGGTCCAATGATACACAGATGTGAAATGTATAGTTATTTTTTGTTTTAGTTTTATTTGATATACGATACCGTATCGATCTAATAGATTATCAAAACCAGTTCTCGATTGATGATTACATCTTTGGTCAGCAATACGAGTAGATACTTCAACTTTTGCAGTTTTTTTCCCCCTTTTTTGCGATGAATAAATGGCAAAAGCTGGTTTCGATCCTAAAGAATTCGATGATACGATGAAGTTATCTTGTTGATGATAATAGGTTATCTTGTTGCAAGTAAGGAAGGATGTTGGGTAATATTTTTGCATTGGCATTACATTTAAGAACTTATCCTTGAAATGCATCTGAAATCTAATGTAATCTAGCGTAAGTTTCAGAGGAGTCGCTGTGTAGATGCTGATGCACCAGAGAGAAGACTGTTCTTTGACTGTTCTCCGGCAAGCGGAAAGGAGTCCTTGCATGATTCTGCAAGGACTCCTTTCCGGTGCAGGCAAAGGTGACTCCAATCATAGTTGATTCATCTATACGGTGCAGGCAAAGGTGAACCCTTCGGAGTACATTTCCCTGAAGGAAGCAGCAGGAGTCACAGTGTCCGTAGCCTTCTGCAGAGGTATTGGATCATAAATGGATCAGTTTGTGTCTGTCTTCATTAGCTCTCTCATCTCCATGCAGTGACGAAGAGACGATGAGGCAGATCCATTGATGACTTGCGCTGAGCAGTTCTGATGAGATGTTGCGCTTTCGATCGATCTATGGGTCAAAAGAGAGTTACCAAATGGACCCCAATTCCTCAGAGGCCACTGAATGAGGGAGAATTCTCGTCCAAAAGAAAAGCTTCTCCCCTAGTGGCGATGGCGGCTTCCCCACTTCAGTCCATTTCTGCCCCATACCAACGCTCGAGTGGTCTCACGTAGATTGCGAGACAAGTGGCACAAAGAACCATAGCACTTGGAAGGACAGTTCTTCCCACCTCCAGGCATCATTTCCTAAAGAATTCTACACCTTCTACAGCGACATGTTCGAGTTGCTTGTTGACTGGATTCAGTAGGAGACATGGTGGGCCGCTGCGCGCCGATCAGATGTCGTTGCCACAAAACATGCATGGTTGGTCTATCAACTGACATTATTACAAACCTGCATCAGGCGTTGGAGATGGAGATCTACATGTTCTATTTCCTTTGGAATTAGGATCGGCAGAGAAGACAAACATGATCCGGATTTTGTGCAGATAACCTCTTGCGTGTGATCGGGGAGCACATGTTCGGCTGAAGCAGAATGTGTGCTTGACATGATGCCATGAAAGCAAGTGGCAAGTGGTATGGGCTCGATTCAGTAAAGGCGAGCCTTCGATTCCGTGAAAGCTTTCAGTATTGCGACAGCTCGAACGAGCTCCTGCCCTCGGCATCGGGGCATTTCTTTCCCTTGTAACCTTATCCAAATGCCAATCTGAATCATCTCTGTATTCGATGACAGGGAAAGGCAACAACCTGCTTTGCAGACGAAGAAGATGCAATGGCTCTCTCTCAGTTCGGAAACTTGAGAGACCTGTAAGAAGCTGACAAGTTCTTGCCATATACGGTGCCCGACCGACTCTTCTACTTCGGTAGTCATTAAACAGTGAAGATTTATGAGCAACGCCAATCGATAATACAGTCTATGATATTACACGTCGAGGATGGAAGCGACATCGATGGCATGCATCGCCTTCTGGTTTTATCTGATCGACTGAGAAGTGCCAACGAGCATCATATTCTGTCGTGCCTTTGACGGCTTCCTGAGGACGGAGAGCCTCCGTCGGCACCGCCACCACCACTCAGGCTGTTTATTCCACCCATAGTCATCTGATGATGTTGAAATGGCTGTAGTGCTGATGGTGGCCCCGTACCATACATCTGCTGGCCCATCATCATCATTCCACCGCCATACATACCGCCTCCGCCCACGGAGGTGCTGGGACCACCGCCGGCATTGCTGCCGTCCTTGGGCTGTGACTGGGACGAGGCGGCGGCGCCGCCGCCGGCCTTCTCGCCCTCCATCTCGCGGAACCTCTGGAGGTAGACCTTGAGAGGCTCGACGTAGTTCTCGAAGCCGAGGGTGGTCATGGCCCAGAGGAGGTCGTCGCCGTTGATGGTCTTGCGCTTCTCGCGCTGGCACTTGTCGGAGGCCTCGCCGGTGACGAAGCTTATGAACTCGGAGACGCACTCCTGCACAGTCTCCTTGGCGTCTTTGGAGATCTTGGCGTTCGCCGGGAGCGCCTTCTTCATGATACGGCTCACGTTGGCAATCGGCAGAAAGCGGTCCTGCTCCCGCGCCGCCGCCCCTCCTTTGCTGTTGCTGTGCCCGCCCGACTCGTTGTCCGAATCCGCCATGCAACAGTCCAAAAGCACCCTTTTTTTGGCTCGATTCTGATAACAATCTCAGTGATCAAAAAGCTTCCTTTTTTCTCTCGACTGACCGAGAAACAGAGCATAATAAGCTGATAAAAAACGCTTCTTTCTCACGTACACAGATTACGACGGCCAAGAGAACAGAGACTTCTGCAAGCAAGAACAAGAGTCAAGGACGGTCTTCCCTCCCGATGAATTCTTCCGACCATGGGCGACGCCTGCGTTTGCACGAGCAAGAGCACCGACGAGGAGAGGAGGGAGGGATGTGTCGGTCCTTCGGGTCGGTGCCTAAATATGCCGTAGGGAGAGCTACGTGGAACAACAAGGGCCGTCCGTTTCACGATAAGAGAAAACCGCTAAGGACCTTTTGGGCCGTTGATGACCTTCTACGGAAGCGGATCTATGCCGTAGGCGGCGGCGATTGGGCCCCCTCATTGGTTAATGTGAATGAGGCCCACCTGAGCAGACTCTTTCAAGCAGATGGTGATGGGGGGTGCAATCACAGTATGCAGTATGCAGTATGCAGTATGCAGTAAGCACAACAACACACTGAACACAATGCAGGAGACCAGCAACCACATCACATGCACGCAAGCTAGTGGCATTCAACACCATCACATCCCTTCAAGAACACCATTTTCACATTATTGTAGCCTCTACAATTTTGATCATGGGACAGTGAGTTGAAATAGATTTATCATAACGTTCCTAAATGCAGAATGAAACACATAAATATTGCCTAGTTCAAAGATGGTATCCGGAGTAGGTGTTCTGCTTCAGAGAAGGCACCACATTAAACTTGTGCCGAACTCCATTGAGGGGAAATCAAGAACCAACCTAAAAGCCGACTAACTGGGGAGTGCCGGTTACATGCCAGTTCCACCTTCTTGCCTGTGGGTTGCGGATTTTCTTCCTATCCAGCATCTTCTTCGTCTTCATCGTCCTCATCTTCTTCAGCGGCTTCTGCTAGTCTGGTCAGCTCTTCTTGAATCAGGAGCTTTATAGATGCTTTTCGCGGTGTCAGATCCCCTTTGTAGTGGGTGGCTGATAGGTGAATTGCATAATTGTCTGGTGTGGATCAAAGTAGAAGAAAAGAAACAAGAATAGTTCAGAAAGCACATACCTAGCCGCTTCAAAATGTCGGTGAAAGTTGCCTGAAGCAAAACAGGACACGTGCTGTTACTATGCCGCAATAATTAACAAAACAAATAAAATCACTTGATTCGGAAGAAAGGAAACTAGGAGCAAAGGTTCGTCGTACTATGGCATACCGCTCGGTATGAGCGATATGTATTGACCCGACAGGGGACTAGTATGTGTGGTACATCGACACAGTCTCATATGTCGTGTGTCGATATGCTTTGTATAGCTCGGTGTGTACCGTACCGACAATTGGTTGGTACACCAGTACAGACCGGTAAGACGAACCATACTAGGAGCAACATGTTTTCTATTGAAATGTAAAACAAAATAGCATAAACAGCTCTAAGTGAGTATTAGCCATAGGCTATTGTCAAACACAGTACGAATAGAACAAATTTAGTGTTGCAATGCGGGAAAACCACTACATGAACAGCTCATGCTGGTCATCTGTGATGGAGAAGAATAATGCTGGAGGCAGTGCTTCAGTAATCCCCAAAACTTACCTAGGACTGCCTGGAAACCTACCTTAAGTACAACTTGTGGCCATCTAGCGTAAACTTTTTCTTATTGTTAAAATCTTTTAGAGAAAATTATAATATCACCTAAAGGTTCAAAGGTAACACAAAAACGGTGACCCCATACATAAGGCACCCCTCAAATATGGGGCCATGAGACAATAAATGTAAAGAACAATTAAATAGCATATGGAATAAATTTATAGGTTAAATACATTAAACAAAAAAGTAGCTCACCGTGTTAAAGTCAACTTCCTTCAGAATTTCACATATTTTTTCCCTGAGTTCCTCCTTGCTTGGATGCTCTGCCTCTGATTTGGTCTTACTTTTAGCAACCTTTTTACCTTGATCAATAGCAAATAAATTTTGCATCAACTTGAACATCAAAAACTGGCATTCACATGTGCCCCTATAAGAGAAATCTAACAACTAAGATGCTCAAACAGCAGAATGATGGGAAAGATCACCTAGTAAATACTGGAAACATAGTTAATAGCTATTAGGTAAATGACTGCTGCACCAGATCACAAAGCCAGTGTATTAGGAAAGAAGAAAACTGTGTACGCATATGTTACTCATTAGAAATGAATAAACAAGTATCAAATAATAAATATGCTATTGCTGCCAAACTAATTGAGAGATATGACGAAATCTCATTTGATAGCAAAGAACTTCAACATTAAGGAACCTAAAAAGCCGACAGTGCTGATGGACGAAACCTAGAAACTGACTCATAGATTATATGCTGGGTTGCTTCTGAGCTCGAACATTAATAAACTGACATATAAAACATTAGTCTCAAGAAGTCACTCTGGTGACAGACTATCATTTAGATCCATACTTATATACCTAGCCTAGGAGTAAATTTTACCAAACAATTAAAATAATGATTGCATGCTTAAATAAAGAAGCTGTAAATAATCCAAGAGAATCAATACATCTCTTCATTTATATATCATGAAGAGTTCATGATTACCAGCTTACCAGTATCCTTTTCTTTCTTGTCTGACCTAGGGGCTGATTTTTTCATGGGTGAATCAACAGTTCTCTTTTTCCTGGAGAAAACCTTAGCGCCTATGTCATCATCATATTCAGCTTTAGAGCATTTGGAAGATGATTGAGCAGGACTCTTGGTAGTTGCTGGTGTTGGAACCTTCTCGGAACTGGACCCTATCTTTTCCTTACCAACAGAACCTTGTTTGGAAGTTTTCTTCTTATCCTGCTTGCCCTTTCCTGAGTCCTCTTCATCATGGGCATCTTCTTCCGATGCTTCCTCACATTCGCTTGTCTCACCCTCATTCTCCGAATGCTTGACTGCTTTGCGCTTGTAAGGACTATTCTTAATGTCATCCTCATTATCCATTTCTTGTGCACTTTTGTCGTCTTCACTCAGTGTCTCCTCACTTTTGGTTTGTTTCTGCTTATTAAAATTGAAAATATGAAAATAATAGTGGGTTCAACTTTTTAGTAGTAGGAAAAACAAAAAGGGCGAATCAGTGCACAGGCTTCTCGCCAATTCAGGGTATAGGGGAGGACCAACAAGAACCAAGAGAAATTAAAGAAACATAAATTAAAGCAGAAAAACAGAACGGATAACTTATATATTGACTGGTGGAATATGTATAAATCCTCATACTAACCTTCCTAGATATCTTGCTGTGTGTGTGATCCATACTCTTTGATCCACTTCCTTGGGCCACCCTCTTCCGCTTTCTAGATTTTGTTGATTGCTTCCAAATGAATAAAAAATGAAAATGAGAACATGTAATTGAACTAAAATATAACCACTCGGTAAACAAACATAATGATAGTAATGTGGTGAAAAATATACAAGAATATAGTATTGCACAATCCCATTTGTGCATGTATAGCAACACAAAGAGAAAGAATTTCTCCACCAACATTAGGTTCCAATGCTAATACCACTTCAAAATAACTTCACTAAACAAAATATTTCATGCAGTAAAGATAAACCTTGTCCACAGAAAGTATGCCTTCATTAGTAGGATGAGGAGGAGCAGCCAAGAAGTCTAATAGCTTCACCACAAGGTCTTCCTATAATATATTAACCAAACCATCAATATAACATGATAAGGTAAAACACTGAAAGAAAAACTCAATCTGACATTAACTAATTGTTGATCACAAACTTGAGAGTGAAAAGTCCACTAACCTTCTTAGTATTTGCTTTGGAAGCAGGTAAATCAAACAAGTCACACAGATCCAGCAGAGTGTCCTTCACGTATTTGTCAAGTCTTTCCTTCATCTTAGCTCTCTGCTTTTCCTGGAGAATACAATATTTTGATTTAAAAAAATAGGGAAAACAAAATATTCAAGTTATTCTCAAGTATTACAAGATTACTTACATCACTTTCATGCCATACAAATCCAGAGAACTGTAGAATATGATTTTTGAAATTCACAGCCTGTTCCATAACACAAGAATCATCATTCAGAAGATGATAGATAACAGAGATGCTGTCATAATATTTTCAAAATAGTTGACAGATAACTGCAGAGTCTAGAATTTTAAAGGACCTGGAGCCGGCAATCAGCCCCAAAGCCTTTTTTCAAAGAAGAAGTTAGGTACTAGAAAGAGAAAACAAAATTTTGAATTCATTTTCATCTTCCTTTCACTACAGTCAATCGTTAGGAATTCAACAATTCTTCTCTTCAATATGGTTAATGGACATCATGGAGGAAAAGATGGATTGTTTGTCACATAATACTTCAACTTCAACATGTTTAAGATATCTAGTTTAGGGCTACCAAATACTTGCTTCGACCTTGATAATACTCAGCAAGTACAATAATAATGTCAATGAAAAAGTCCTAAAGTTGATGCTGGGTGAAAGCCAATTAGTAACTCATTCAAACTCCCAGATATGGACAGAGATGCAAAAAAAATGCACTGCAAATATATCATAATCTGTAAATTAAGTGATCCATGTTGTTCCTCAGCTTGAAATTACACATAGATAATGATTTCTGAAACACAACACTTCCAGAATTTCTTGAACACACTCAGACAAGGCAATACAACAATGATTCTTACAAGATCCAGATTTATGATTTATATTAAAATTATTAACAAGACTAAACCATTTCTAACAACAAGAACCACAAATCCAGAATGGTTCTAATGAACCGCCAAAAGATCATGTGGTCCTCCAACAATCCACATATATAATTTCTTAGATTTAAAGCAACAACAGATCTTTAGAAAGAAAATTTAGACAAAAGCATAGACTGATATTTCACTTGGTCTTGAGCAATTAGTGAGAGAAATGAAGTAAACACTCCTGGTGGCATATAATCTTAGCTATTAAAGCAGAAGATTTGCACGATCCCTGGACCAATAGAAACATTAACAATGGCAACGTAGTAGTTAGAAAATAACTGATATATTTACACAAACAAGAAATATGGAAAAAAATGCATAACATTTGAAACTACCTTTCCTCTCCTTCCAAAAAGAGTCTGATGAATCAATTTAATATCAGAAGGTTTCTTCTTTGCTAGTTTGTGGGCCACTGAAACAAAATCAAGAAGTACGTTGAATTTATAGTTAGATACAGCCTTTATGATGTAGAACTAATGGGAGAAGGGAAGAGAGAGAAGAGAAAGAATTTTATTCCAGGATCATGCTATTATGACCGACATTAGAAAGCCTGCAATTGTAGGCTCAACTCAAAATAAATCCAACAGGTACAATAACTCGAACCACACTTCTAACAGGCCATCCATAAGTTACAAGACAATAACTTAACCCACAATTCCAATAACATAAGTTCCTGAACAATAACACAAAAAACAAAACCAAATAATCGAACCTAAGTTCCAAGACCACAAACAGTATTTTTAACTTTCAACACATACTAATTACAAAATATAATTCCAAGACATATTAATGAAAACACTTGTTGCCTAGCCCCTGTGAACTTGTGCCTATAACAAATCCTTTTAAACTCCTCATTTGGCCATCATCACTTAAGACATGAATGCTACATATCACTTGAAAGGAAAAGAAAGTCTAGAGATTAAAAAAGAAAAACTCAAATACTGGTTGTTTGTATTCAATGATACAAGTGTTCCAAATGTTTAACAAGAGTATGGATGAAGAAAAACCTGCAAATTAGTGGACTGACTAACAAATAAACCTCAAGGATCTAGACATTGCAGTCCTTTATTCACAATGATGAACCCCAATTTATTCACAAAAAATTGTTTTAGTATAAGTCGAATCATCATGATAAGCAAGTATCTGTTACTCCCACCAAAACCTTCAAGAACCGTTGGTTACAATGAAAAACAATGACTAGGAAGATAAAATTGTGTTCAAGCAAATAAAACAACTCATGTGCCCATGCCATGAACAACTCCATATAAGGCATGAAATTTCCTGATGAAAAAAAGATGAAGAGCAAAAAGTTGAACAAATTGAAAAGCAAACTGTAAGCAAGGTCAACGTATTTCAAAATATGGACATCATATCATCCCTATATATATCACAAGAGAATTATGGTTTATAAAGTGTACCGTTTGGTATGTCCTTCAATGGAGTGCCACGGCCCTGCAACCAAACAGATCTTAAAAAATATATTATTCATGTAAGAGAGTGATGACAATCATATCAAACAATCAAATGATAAGTACAGCACCTTCTCAACTTGAAACTCTCTTGATGACTCCTTTTCAATAACTTCTACCAACCTCTCTACTGTTTTTCTCTCACGCACAGGGCGTTCAATAGATGAAGTCCCAGGACTAAAGAAATCCTTGGACTTTGTCAGACCCTCCTTTCCTTCTCCTTTTTTGAAAGTCTTTTGCCCCCTTGTTCTTTTTTTCTTTAACCTTTCAGCTTCCTTGTCCTCATCAACCTTCTTTTCAGTACTTCCATTGTCTCCTTCTTCCATGTCATTGTCTTCCTCTTCTGCTCCTTCCTCCCCTCCTTCCCTTTCCCCTTCTATTCCTCCTTCCTCATCTTTTGCTTCTTTTTCAACTCCCTCCGCTTCCTCATCTTTTTCTCCTTCCTCATCTTTGAGATCATCTGCGTTGACCATCTTTACATCCTCCACCTCCATACCTTTCTCAACCACTGTATCAGCCATTTTCACATCCTCAGCTTTGGCAGAATTCAAGTCTGTAGTCTTCCTGTCTTCTTCTGTTTCTTCCATACCTTCTGATTTTGTTGTGCCATTTTCTACATCATGCTCCTTTTCAACAGAATTCATCTTTTGTTCACCATGCTTCTCTTCTTCTACACTTTTTCCTTCATCGGCATGCCTTCCAGAATCGGACACAACACTCTTATCTTCAGGTGGCGGACTAAACCCATTCATCATTGTGGTTCCTTCCACTTCATCATTTTTACCTGTATTTTCCTTCTTTTCAGAATCCATGACGACACTAATCTTATGCTCAGGTGACGGACCGCATCCATTAGCCATTCTTCTTCCTTCCGCATCAAATGTTGAATTATGTTCTTCCATCCAAATATTTATAGAAGCTAGACTCCGTACAGAGTTTAGTATCAAGTCTAATGTTCTTCACCCTACACAACCTGGAAACACGCATGAAACGAATTGGCTGACTTTCAAGCTAGAAAAAACTATAGAGAAACTATAGAGACACGGATTCTGTAACTATGGTACACTAAGCTCATCGCAAAGTCTTTGGGGAAAATGTTTCCCATAGTGCACATTAGTACAGTTTATATAAAGAGAGGACTAAAGGCAAATTCTGTGATGCAGCACACCGTGCAACTTTCATTCATAGCCAAGCAAGATTGCAACTTTCATACAAAGGGATATAGGTGCGTGACCTGCAAGATTAAAACCCACGCTACAGAGAACAAAGTTGAAGTTAAAGAAAATAGCAAACGAAGCTCCAAAACAGCAACTTTGCGATACAAAATATCTATATTTCGGAGTTCGAAACCCTTGCTGCTACAGCTCTATCAGGTTTTAGAAACAAAAACACGGAGACAATAAAGAGAGCGGCGAGACGGCAGAAGGAAGTCTTACTGCAGAAAGTTTCGAAAACCCTAGCTGAATCAAACGAGTTGGCCTCCTTCAAGAACAACCGATCACGAGAAGAACACCAAGAATCCCAACTATCGAGATGAAAAATTGACGGAAAGTGGCACCTGAGGAAGATCTACGAGCTCTGAGCGACTAAATCTCGGAAATTTGGAAGCACCGATTCATACTCGCCCAGACCCCCTCCTTCCCTCGCAAGGAAATAGTAAAATAAGGTGCTCTCTCTTGTCCGATTCGTGTCCGACTCGAACGGATACGGACCTTAAATCTAATTCCGATCCGGTTTTACTAGGATGAGCCGCCGCTGCTTCGACTCCAACAGGGACCACAGCTCGTGGGACGCTCGACGGGACATCTGTTCCCGGCGCTGGATGAAACAATGATGGGGCCCACTCAAGTGACGTCAGTGTTCATGGAAGACGTGTCCAGGTGGGACTAATATTGGTAGGTTGGATATCGACGGACATGCAGTCCTACACGTGGGATGAGTTCGCGTCAGCGTTCTCTGGGCTACATTGGAAGGTGACGTAAGCGAGTCGGAGGGGGATGTAACGATCGGCCGTGGGAGGGACAGTGATCGATTGGATCGACTATCCAATCCTGATCGTTGGATTTATCGGATGCTTTATCGGAGGAGGCCGTGTTGTCATGTATTTACGTTTTAATATATTATTATTTTTAAATATTTTTGGTTTAACTTTTCCACTGTGAATCCGAAATTGGATTGGAAAAGATATATAGCATCGAATCATTTCAGTGACAGCTAATTTAAATCATCAAGACCTTGCCAATATCAAGCCCATGCCAAACGTAAGGCAACTAATAATAGGTGGAACTCCCATCATGGCCTTGGCAATGTCACTTTTGCAGAGTTCATCCATGTAGAACTCTTGTTCTTAATATTTATTATATGCATTTCAAAACCAACAAATCATCTTCGTTTATTTTTCAATCCCCTTAAATACTTTAAAAATGCTCTCAAACAAAATGATATATATATATATATATATATATATATAATAT